TAAGCTGTTTTAAATTGGGTCTAGGGTAGTCTTTATGCTAGGACCAGTTTTTCTCAACTTCTAAGGGAAAGCCCTTCAATCTTCCTTTCTAAATAGGATCTCTTTACTCTGGATTAAGAATTCTTGAGCAATTCCTGCCTCTCTGAACTCTGAGGACTGTTTTACAAGTCCTCAGTAATTATTCTTGCCTTGAAAGCTGTTTTTGTCTGGCCTTATGGAACATTCACCTCGTGTACAAACACTTTGGTATTCAGGTTAAAACCAAGGGTTCCCTGCTTTGATTTCTGGAGATTTTCTGTGTGTACCTCCCTTCCCTGGGGTAATCTTCCCCATGAGTTTTAGCAGAATCATCCTGAACTTTAACTTTGATCTCTTCAACTCAAGATCATTGCCAAGACTTTTATTTAGCTTCTCCTGCCTCTACCCTAGAGAATTGCCTCTGAGTAGCAAGTGTACATGACAGTGGGTTTAACATCAAACTTCTACTTCAGAATATACCATCCTGTGCTGCCTATACACCCAATGTTGAAAAATTGCTTTTCCCTGTTATCTAACATGATGAGTATAGTTAATAACAATGCGTTATATTCTTGAATATGTCTACAAAAGTACAGTTCTCAAAATAAAAAATAACTGTGTGAGGTAATACATGTTGATTAGCTTGATTTATACCTTTCAAATGAGTGCATATTTTGAAATGTCATGTCATATGACAAATATAAAATTTTTATTTCTCAATTAAAAAAATAGTTTACCTCTATACTTTCAAATTGTTTAGACATTTAGGGCTAGAAGTTGTGGACTGTATAATATAATTCCACATATTTATTTTTCATTTTATTATCGAATTCCTTTGTGTTAATGTTTGAGGGGTATAAGTAGAAAAAATGTGCTGTATTAAATGATCAAGTTTTAAATATTTTTTGCAGATAATATACCTCTTTGGAAAGTGAAGTGGGAGTATGAAGGTAAGAGAAATGTGTTAGACAGGCCTGTGATTTTCAAGGGAAAGAATCATGCCTAAATTATCTTTTTATTCACAGAATAATGATAAGGTTTGGCATATAATTGACTCTTTAAAGATTGTTGGTCAATGAACAAAGGAAAAAAGAATAGAAGACAAAAAAGAAAGTTGTATACTCAGAATTCCTTTTTGTTCAATTATATAAATATATATTTTAAGATCTTAATATGTACCATCCCATTGCTCTTTAGAAAAATGGCACCCATTTCTATTACCCTTAGCTTCAAATGTATTTGCTCATTTCCATACAGGACTACCAATGTTGTGCTAAATCATTCTTATGTCTCAAAGTACTGATGAAGAACAAATATCCAGAACCATTAATTTTTACACTAGACCTTCAAAATGCTATGATAATATTCTTTCTAGAATTAGGATCCCTAAAATAAAGATTTGGCCTGGGAATAAAAGAAATTTACACAATTATCTCAAGCTTTCCATTTCTGTATTTACTATTGTCTTTAAAAGAGATCAGTTGTGAAAATTCTAGGTTAATACATTATTTATTAACTTACAGTCAGCCTTTTAGTCTTAAACATAACTGTTTTTAAAGGCTCTGTTATATAATTTTGTCCCTATCTGAAGCTATTAAAATGCCTTCAAAATTAACATTAAAATATTTTGATGACTTTGTAAAGATTTAGACAAATTAATGTGTTTTAATAGTCAGTAAAAAGAGTTAACGTTGGGCTGGGGATGTGGCTCAAGTTCAAGCGTGCTCGCCTGGCATGTGTGCGGCCCGAGTTCCATCCTCAGCATCGCATACAAACAAAGATGTGTCTGCTGAAAACTGAAAAATAAATATTAAAAAATTCTCTCTCTCTCTTTCTAAAAAAAAAAGAACGTTTTCTGAAAAAACAGGTAGTCTGCATAAATTGAAAAAATTTCATATAAAAATACAAAGAAATGATGAATAAAAGATAGCAAATATCATTTTAAAATATGTAGTTATGCTCACAAAGAGATGAAAAAATACATGGGACAAAAAATATAAAGGAAACTGAAAACAAAACTATGACTCTATTTTTCAGCTAAGAGAAGTCTTTGATAAACTAGAGACTTGGAAAGTAGCTGAGCATAAGTCCAGGCTGAAATAGTATGTAAGGAATTGGGCTTACAGAAAGATAAAAAATCGAATTTTATATACATATGAAGAATGGTAGACTAAAATTACCTATTCCCAGCAGAGATAGGTAAGGTAACAAGGAAAGCTTTTAGTTACAACCAGGACTCTAGTTGGGGGGAAAAAAAAAAGACAAACAAAAATCTCTTATAAATTCATAATCATTAGCTTTATCATAAAAGTTTTGGAATTGAATTTCCATTATCTTAATAGTCTAGGATCTATATACCAACAAATTAACATCAATATTTATAGTAGATTAGTTATAATCCTAGGTATTCCAAATTGTATCATATAAGATTACCTTCATAAAGTCCTGGGAAGATAAACTTGCAATCTAAAATTGTAAAATACAAAAGGAAAAAATTCACCATCAAAAGTTTAGCAGGGAAAAAAGATATGATTAGACCCTATACCCCAAAATAGGATTATTAGGTACAGATTATAAAATATACTGAAATGGCTTAAATTGTAAAAACTAAACACAAAAGAATATGAGAAAGGTATAAATTACTATGACAATTACCAGGCAGAATTTTTAAATGAATTTTTAGAAAATAAATATATGGTCATTACAAATTTATAATTTTATTTTATATTTTTCTTTCTAAGGATTTAACCTATAGTCCAATGTCTGTAAAACATGTGATTCCCCCATTAAGCTATGCCCCCAGCCTTCTATAATTTTAAAATTATTAAATAGATTAAATATAAGATTATGTGAAGAATTAGTGAATTGGTAGATTGTTCTGAGGAATCTATTCTGAAACCAATGCAATAAAAAAAAAGTAAAAGAAAAATGAAAAGCAACGGAAGATTGGATGAGAAAGTTCAACACGTATGTAACTTATATTTCCCAAGAAGACGTTAAATAGTATAGGAGCAAATTTTTTCAGTGATATAGTAGAGAGATTTCTAGAATTTAATGAATTTAAGATTTATTAAGTCAAAACAAGTTATTATCAATATAATAAAACTAACTATGTATTTAGATAAACTAATATATATCAGGAACTGAGAGATGTTAAGCAATGAAATACAATAGACAAAACAGCATCAATAGTTATGAGAACAAGTGGAATAACATATCTAGAATATTTTAAAAAAATAGCTTGAGAGCTAGGTTTTTATACCCATATGGACTATCATTCAATTCTGAGATCAAAGTTAAGGGCTATTAAGAATAAAATTTGAGGAAATTGACAGGGTTGCTGAATGAATTTTTAAGGGAAGTACTTCAGGGAGGACAACATTAATTTTAGAAGGGAATGAGATACAAAATAAACAAAACTTTTTCTATATTGCTAAACCTTAAAAACAAGGGCTTAAATACATAAAACAATAACAAATATGACTAACTTGCATCTATACAAAGAAGATAATATGAAAGTATAGGACAATATCAGTATGTAAAGTAGGCAGTAGATCAACAGTTAAATCATTTGTAACTAAATAAACAAACTTAAATTTGCTTAGGAGACAGAAAACCAATAATTTTTAAAAGCACTTAATTTTTGTTTTCTTTTTGGTTTATCTGAAGTAAATTCACTCTATTTGCTGTATAGTTCTGAGTTTTAACAAATGCATGCAATTGCATTACCATCAAGACACAGGGATTTCCATTACCCAAAATATCTCATAGCATCCTTTTGTGTTGTAGCCAGTCTCCCCACCCCCATTCTTAACACTGACAACCACTGATCTGTTCACCCTATTGCCTTTTCCAGACAAAATACAACCAAATCGTATGCACTCTTCTCAACCTAGCTTACTTTACTCAACAAGAGCAAATTAAGTCACATGTTGTATACATTAATATTTCAATATTTTTTTATTCCTAATAGTCTTTGTATGATTAGTTGAGCATCTAGTCATCTTAGAGTTGGCATCTGTAGATTATATTTTCCTTTAAAAACTTGTCAGATTTTTCTGGCACTTTCTATACATTTGAATTTTCTTAAAGGCATTTGGAATATTTATATTTTATATTTAGAATATTGTGTCGAGAGATTCTGGATCCTGTTAAAAATCCTGTGGAGAATGCAACTGATGACAGCAGTCAATCAACGCACACACTGAAAATTCCATCAGGCTGTGATTGTATTCTTGCACTACTTTGTTGCACCAGTCTGGGAATATTTTCTTTATGAATTCTGCAGGAACACTTTCTCTCTTTTTCTCTCCCTTCCCTCTGATCTTATCCCCCACACCAGTTACATTTGTCAACTTTTAGTGTTATCATTGCTATACTGATTTCATAAATGAAGTTAGATATCGTAATGGTCAATTTTGTGTGTCAGCTTGGCTAGGATATGGTGCCCATGTATTGGGTCAAATACTAACCCAGATGGTACTTTTTAGATATATCGTTTACTTTTTAGATATATCTTTAAGTCAGTAGTAGACTTTGAGTAAATGAGATTATTTACCATAGGTGGGATGGGCCTTATCCAATCAGTTAAAGGTATTAAAATAAAAAGACTGAATTCTCCAAAGAAGATTGAATTGTCTCCAGACTGAGATAACAACTCCAAGAATCGAGTCTTCTGTCCTGCCCTGCAAAGTTCAGGCTTGCCAGTCTCTCCTAGTTCCTACTAGAGAAAAATTCTTATATCTCTGGTTCTTATTCTATATAAGGCATTTATTTAATACTTACTAAATTTGATATTTACTAAATAAATTCCTCTCCCTTTTCTTCAATTCCTAGATTCACTCACTACAGATACTTTCAACATAAAATGAAATTCAGTCGTAATGTCAAAGAAATAAAATCTCATTGATAGTTAAAAATAATTGGGCTGGGGATGTGGCTCAAGCAGTAGCTTGCCTGGCATGTGTGCGGCCCAGGTTCGATCCTCAGCACCACATACAAACAAAGATGTTGTGTCCGCCGAAAATTAAAAAAATAAATATTAAAAAATTCTCTCTCTAAAAAAAGTAATAAAAATAAAAATAATGATCATGTGCTCTATAGTGGAGAAGTTATTTTATCCTGTTTTCCCATATTAATAAAGTCTATGTCAACTGGTTAAATGTCAGTTTTGTATAGTATACTGGCTTTTTTTTTCATTTTTTCAGTAAATTTCTGAATAAAATAATCTGCTTCTCAAAAGGGAGGATTTGTTTCCTCTCTAGTAATGTTTTGGAGGATTTTCAGTCAATGGACACCAACTGAAATTTCAAAACATTTATTTAGAGCCAGTTACAGTAGCACATGCCTGTAATCCCAACAACTCAGGAAGCTGAAGCAGGAAGATTGCAAATTTGAGGCCAAACCTGGGCAACTTAGTAAAACCCGGTTTCAAAAATAAAAACAAAAAGGCTGAGGGGGTAGTTCAGTGGTAAAGCAGCCTTGTGTTCAATCCCTACTTCCACACACACAGCACACGAAGCCCATTTAGAAAACTGCCTCTACACACGTGCAATGTGTTAATCAACACCATTGCCATTTTCCTTTCATATACAAACAGTGAACATAATGGCCTCTCTTTATGCAAACTAAATTTGGGAATACCTAGTGCTTGTATGACCAAGAGAATCCTTTAGCACAAGAGGCAATATATACATATTCAGAACAACATTTTGACAAACGTTTGGCAAATACATCACACATGCCAGGAACTATACTACACACAAAATATAAAAATAATTCTATTTTTGAAACACATATCTCCCAGTAGAAAACATGAATGAGTGAAGACAGAATTTCAATACAAGATAGTGACTTTGACAGAAGCACAGTTAACTCATTGCCTCTCTGTTCCTTCACTGTCTGCTTGTGATTTGTCTCTTGCCAGCGGGCAGGATGTTCGGCACTGTCAGTAGAGGGTGCTGGAGGGACACTGCAGGGGGAAGGGATGTCTCTTCCTGGTTCTGGTGTACCTTCCAGCATTCTTGCTCCTGCAATGCTGAGCTGGCCTGCAGGATAGCCAGGGGAGCTCACCTTAGGGAATTTCAGAAGCATTGCTCACCTTGAGGTGAGTTCCAGAAGTGCCCCAGGTGGCTTTTCAGGAGGGAGTGTAACAACACCTCTCGAGACCATTTCCTGTTGGGTTCTGCTGTCTTCTAACCTGGCTCTCCAGGGCTGAGTCCAGTGGTCTTTCTTTCCCCCAGTAGCAGCTTCTGAAAGGCCCTGGGGGTGATTACAGAGGTCATCTCACATCTGCAAATTCAGTGGCACACCCTCACAGCCAGATTCTGGAGAGCTCCCTGGGTGCCCAGAGAATTAAAAGAAACCTATTGCACAAGCGACTTCCTAGTGGTTTTCTGGTGAGTTCAGCCAGTATCCAGCCGGCTTCCCAGTGAGTTCAACAGCAGCTGCCCCTGCAGGCGGCTTCCCAGAAGATCTCATCAGCACCCCACCTGGTAGTTTCCCCAGTTCCTGGCACCTCGGCAGGAGGCTTCCAGCTTGTCAGTCTCAACCCAGAGTTCATGCTACAGTCTCCCCAGACTGCTTGTAGGCAAGCTGTAGCCTATGTAACCCAGTGAGCTTTTCCACCAGCCAGTAGGCAGTTACTGCTCCAAGAGCTCTGAGCCCTAGTCACAGGGAGGGCTTCCTTCATTAAGTGCCATCCTTCAGCCTTCAGAAATTCTTCAGAGTTGTATTTTAGGCCCTGTTTGTTTTGCTATAAATAATTATTTACACTTAAGTCCTCTCTTTCCAAGTTACTGTGGAGTTTCTGTCTCTTTATTGGACCCTGACTGATTTTCATGATAGATATTATTTTATCTTTCTTTTTATACCTTTCTTTTATGTATTCATTTATTTTTACATGACACTGAGGATCAAACTCAGTGTCTCACATGTGCTAGACAAGTGCTCTACCACTGAGCCACAATCCCAGCCCCCGATATTATTTTATCTTAACCATAGACAGTAAAATTAGCAATACAGAGAGCACTGTATGTAGTATGTCATGACAAAATGCTTATATTTACATGTTTTTCCTCCTTGCTTAATATTGCATATTATATTTCAAATAATCACGGATTTTTCTAATATTCTCCTCCCATAAGAGCCACTAATAATCCTACTTTTATCTGAAAAATGTGCCTGAAAGATCCATTGCATATTACCTAAAAAGGAATGTTGAGGAAATAGTAGAGCATATCATACTGGAATAAATTATTTCCCCAATTAAGAACTAAAATACATTATAACTATAACCCCAAAGTTCGATAATGAACTCATCTTGGGGATCAAGTTTGTGAAAAATGAGGTTTCATTCAGCAGATGCTTCACTTTGCCATATCACTCACAGAGAAATGTCAAAACTGAATTTTAATATGGAGGCCCATTGGGTTACCAGGTGAATGTGACTAAATGTTTTTAAAAACAATATTAATCATGAAATAGTATCTTACAACTTCTGGGAGCAAGTACTTGGGGACTTGTTTTAAGGGGATATTATCCCTATTCCTTACCTAAGGAATTGCAAACAGAGACCTGAGCCAATACATTCCAGAGTTCAGTTCAGTAACATGGCAATACTCTGCTGAGATCCTACTATGGGAAACATGTAAGTGGGCAGAAAGGGTCCTGCTCTTCAGTAGTTTATAATCCACATGAAAGATTACATTTTTTATTTATTGATATAGATACACCAATCAAATAGAGTTTAGGGCAGAGTGAAGGAACGATGGTGCAGCAGTCATGAGCAAGCATTGCCCAGTCCTCTGGCTGTAGAATATAAGTGACCAAGGCCCCCTGCTGTGTGGACAGCCAGGACAGCTTCTGTGCTGGGCCACACTTCCTACCTGCTGTTCCCCACCAAGAACAGAGAGTAGCAATGATACTAAGGTAGCTCATTTAAGCCTCTTCTGAAAAGACTGTCTTGAGGATTCCCCACCAGACTTCCTGAACATTCTTGGGAACTGGACTGCACCCAACTAAGTTTGTTCTTTCCTCCCTCCCTCTTTTCCTCCCTCCGTTGAGGTTATTCTTGCATTGCCCGATGGCTCCTGTAGCCTGTTCCAACTCCCTCTCCATTTCCTCTTAGAGACATTTCCTCTAATAAAAATTTGTTGTAGTATAATTCTATCTTGGCTGCTCTGATTCTTGGAGGACTCAGACTTAGAGAGGTACAAGCAACATGTATAAAGATAGAGAAAAAAGAAATATTGGGGCCGAGCATGTAGCTAAGTGGTAGAATGATTGCCTGACATATGTGAGGCCCTGGATATGATTCTCAGCTCAACAAAGAAGAAGAAATACTAATTTTGAAAATCTATCTTCAAGGAAGTGTCTTTTGATCCAGATCTTGGAGGGAAAATTTGATTTCATGGAAAATTTAACTTGATAGAAAATACAAAATGACATGGTGGAGCAAGATTACAAAGACAGAAGGTGCAGAAAAGGTTCTCAAATGCTTTGCTAAGAAATCTAGCTTATTCTTCATCATTTCAGTTTTTTTTTTTTTTTCCCAATGCTGGGGATTCAGCCTGGGGCCTTGCACATGCTAGGCAAGAGCTCTACCACTAAGCCACATCCCCAGCTCTTAATTTAGCATTTTGAAAGGAAAGGGAAAAAGAAAAAATTCTTATCTCAGACAAGGAAGCTTTTTTCACTACAAGTAGAAAACCTAATTATTACAGTTTAAACAGATTTTATTGGCTCATATTCTAAGAAACCAAGTGAAAAGGTAGGCATCTGGGTGGGCAGATCAATTCAGTGACACCGCCAAACATCCATGCCTTTCATCTTTGTGCTTTACTTTGTACAGTGTTGGCATAAGGTTGATCTTCTCAGGGTGTTACCATGGTTCACAGTACTTAGGGGTGATAACTTCCTGGCTTAAATGTGAGACATTTAGTGGGTTTCTGTGATTCTCAAGAGAAAAGAAGAATGTTCCTGAAGCCTGTCACAAACTTGCATGGCCTCTTCATCAATCAAAATTAAGTTACACAGCCATTTACTAACCAATGACTGGTAAGAGCATGGTAGTGTTGCCCTGAGATGAATCAGGACCAGGCCACTTCTCATTGAACAAGTGGACTATTTGGGGGGCATGGATGATAAAGACTCATAACTAGGGATCTATTAAGGGCTCTGTAAAGACAACCAAGAATGTTCACTGTATTGGTAAAAGAATTTTTAGGAAGATACTTTTGGGGGTTGTAAGGAGAAACAGATTAGAGAGTAAGAGATTAAAATCACACATCAAAAACAACACCACCAACAACAAAAACCAGTGTGACAGTTGAGTAGCTAAACAGTGGTCATAAGAAGTGACAGAGTAATGATAATGGCACAAATGACTAGAAAAGAAAAACTTCAATTATTAAAAAAAAATGAGGGGGGGAAGGGATCAGAATCATAAAAATTATGACAGAAAATTCAAAAGAAGAAAGAATTTGATATTGGGCTGGGGATGTGGCTCAAGCGGTACCGCGCTCGCCTGGCATGCGTGCGGCCCGGATTTGATCCTCAGCACCACATACAGACATCTCATGTCCGCTGAAAACTAAAAAAAATAAAATATTTAAAAAAAAAGAATTTTATAGAGGAGGTGAAGGAGTGCGTGGCGGAGAGTTTAAGCGTAGCGTTTGGCATCAAGTCAACTTGGAATTGGCCCTTACCCTCAGTTTCAACTAGTGGAATGGCCTCAGGGAAGGCAAGCATAAGGACTGATGTAATAATCTAGATTAAGCACTGGTGAGCTATGGCACCAAACAGCACAGAATCCATACCCTCCTCCTCTGCTTGTTAGCTGTATCACCTTGTGTTCTCCCAGCCTGGGCTGCAGCATCAGAGGATAATATTCTGTCCTTGTCTATCCGTCACTAATTATTGTCTGTGTCCCTGTTTTGTTCTGACACTAGCAAACATTAAATACTGTAAATTAAATTTAAAACTGTGATAAATACTATTACAAGATGCTTCTTGTGGTCATTAAATGTGATGTTCATAAAGAATTTAGCTGTGCTAGGCAGAGGAGAAGGTGCAAATAGAGTGAGTGTATGACTTTTATCATCAAAACTGGAAAATTCCTAGTTTTGGTAATGAGGGCACCATGGGCAATCTTTGAAAACCAGATTCCCAGGATTAAAAAAAAATATCAGGAAAAACAAAAGAAATTCTGAAAGATGAAATAGATGGAGTAAGAAATCTCTGCTATGAAACTGAGGGAGTATCAGGGCAGGGGCAGTTGTGTCTGTACTTCTACTTCTATTTTTATTTGTGACTGAGAGGTGGGGATTAAAAACCATAAATATAGCTCCATCCTAGGTACCTGTGCTTGCTTACCAGATCTATACAAAAAGACCTACATTCTCTTTTCCATCTACTACATCTTTGATGTGGTGATACTGAAAAGATCCTTTTTCCTGTGGAGTCACTTCCTCTAGGAAATGTCTCCAGATTAACTCCACCAATTTTCCAAGTGGTCACCACAATAGGCTTCCTTCCCATGCTGCCTTCATCTAATCTGAAAGCATATGAAAACCAGAAATTGGGGCAGATGAATACATTTGTATAGATGCAAGCAGTCTGCGTTGTCTCCACCATTAAGGAATTCACAGCTGCTGGTAGGTAGCGCATAATTCAGCTCAGGTCAATGCAGAAAGTGTAGAGATAAAAGCTGGCCCTGGAGAGCCCAGGGGCTGGGAGACCTCTAGAAACAGGAGGTACTCAGGTGACACCTAAATCTTAATGGGAGGGCAGAAGAATCCAGAAAAAGAGTGGGGGAATAGTTATTGCCCCAGACTAAATCCAAGGGCCAGAGACACCTGGTAAGAAATCATGATATATCTGGCTCACTCACATTTTCCCCGTGAACTTGCACAGTCAGCTTTCAGGCTGTTTCAGGATCCCTTTCAGCTGTAAAAGCATCTTCGATTCACCATCCATAGTTTTGGCAGAGATGGTTGGCTAGAAGTTTTTAAAAATGAAATGCTATTTGCAAATCATGGAGAGTCAGTGTTGTTGGTTTTGAAAGTTGCTCTGAATTGGGCCCAACTTAGTGTGTATCAAGTTCCGGGGCTTGAAAAAGAGGAGATGAAAGGCCACAATAAAAACACTAAGCTGCAAATAGTATTGAAAAGCAAATTTGCTTATGCATTGTGTGTATGGCAAAAACAGCGTATTTCTATTTTTAAGCACTGGACCCGCCCAAAATAGAAAACCAAGAAGGTCAAGAGCTGAATATGGGTGCATATCAAATTCAAGAACCCCAGCTTTCCGGGTTAAGTGCCATTTACAGATTACCTAGCAAACCCACAATTCATTCTCAAACATTAATGGATTACTTGCCATTTACTAAATTCAGAGAAAAGATTTAGAAATCATGAATTAGCCAAATATGCTCGGCTTCAATTGAGCTGCCATGTGGAAGATTCACGTTTCGAAATGTACGAATTATAATATAGACTAACATTAAAATTTCAAAAATTGCATTTTTATGAAATACTGTTTTAAGAAAGTTGTCTAGGTGTATGTTACACTCGTATAGAGAATAATTCATCCGTGGCACATTGCCTAAACCTTCAAATTTCGGCAATTCCATACCTAATCTTTGATTGACAGTGATTTGTTAGCATTAAATCCTTTCACTATATACAATGCACACACGACCCCCGAGGCAACTTAATTGTGCACGGAGAGAGTTCAAAAGCTATTGATCGCTTCCAGAACATCTTTGTCAACCTGTCAAAAAAACAAAAACAAAAAACATTTGCTCAGTGCAGAATGATAAATCCTTCCATTTGCACCCCCACCTCATTTTCTAGGGGAGGGGAGGGGAGGAGGTCATCTTCGTGTTTAAGATTACCTACATTGATCTCACCTTCTGCCCACTTCTCCATTGTCCCTTTTC